TTGTTGTTGTACTTGTTTATTTTCCCCTAGTCTGCAACCCACTGGGAATGGCTACCTCTAACCTGACTCCCTCAGTGGACTCTGCTGGGGGCAAAGCAGAACAACACAAGTGGATCAGGTTACCATCTCAGGCTGGTGCCTGCACCTGGGGATTGGGGGAGGGGTCCCTGTAGCCACCACGGGGAAGATCCAACCTTGGAGTCAGAGGCTTTCTTGCCTCCTGTTTATCCTGAGGACAGAGACCTGCTCCTGTTCAAGAGTGAGCAGGAGTAGTGGGAGTAGTCCCACCAGCCTTGTGCAAGGACTGCCTTCTGCTCCCCTGGGGGCCTGGGAGGCATTTCAGAACTTTGTCCTCAACTGAGGGGTGGGCTCAATTAGACACTCAGGCAGGAGGGACGGCATCTTGTTGCCTTCAGGGCTTAGCTGAACCCAAGGCTGAGAGCATTTTCCAACCGATCCCCTCAAATGCCTCAACCCTGTCATTCCTTACCAAGGTCTTCCTTGTGCCAGGTCCTGAGCTGGGCTCTGGACAGAAAGTGAACCTGACAGATTCGTGGAAGGGGAACTGAAGTCAAATCAACAATCTGCAGAAGACAGAATTCACCTGGACCTTGAAAAACTGAATCTGGATATTGTAGAGATCAAAACAAAAAGATGGGGGAGATGGAGAGGACAAGTCAAGCACAGAAACAAAGGCCCTGAGTGAAGCTGGCTCTTGGGTCTGGTGCGTCTGGTCAGCTGGCGGGGACGGAGGATCCCACACTGGGAGAAGTCAGGCAGGGAAGGAGGCTGGAGGCAGGCTGGGAAAGACCTAGGTGCCAGCACTAGGGAGGCACTATCTCCTATCAAAGAGTGGTGTAAGCAGACCTGCCTTCTGGGGTCTGGATGCACAGGGTAGCGCCAGAGTTTGGCCGCCACCAACTCTCAGTTGTCTGCGGGTGGCCGGGTGAGGGGTGCAGCCAGACCCATGACCTGCATGACCCACCCAAGCCCTCAGCAACCCACATGGGTTCCCAAGGCCAACCCAGAGAGGAAGGGGAACCCTCCCTTTGGAGCACAGAGAACTGCTGAAATGAAGAGAGCAGCAGAACACCAGCGGAGAACTTCCAGAGTTCTTGGACCAAGTCTCGGGCACTATCCCGGCCCACTCCTCGTCTTTCTAGGACTGGTCCATTTCTCTGACAGCCGAGAGCTCACTCCAGCCCTCCTCCTCCACCCCTCTGGCTTTTCCAGGGCAGTATCTGAGGCCCAGGTTTCAAGCCCGGATCCCAGCTCTCTTGGCAGGCCAGGTCCCTCTTTGTCTTTGGGTTTTTTGTTTTTTGTTTTCTTTTGGAATGATTTTAAATTCACAGACAAAGATAGTACAGAGAGTTCCCATGTCCCCTCACCCAGCTTCTACTAATGTTAACATCTTACATAACCATGGTACATTCGTCAAAGCAGAGGAATTAACACTGGAATAATACTATTCACTGAACTATAGGCTTCATTTGGGTTTTATCAGTTTTTCCTTAAGGGACGTTACATTGTTCCTTTTCCTGTCCAGGCTTCAATCCCAGTTTCCATATTGCACTTAGCTGTCATATCTCCTTGGTCTCCTTTCATCTGGGACAGCTTCTCATTCTTCCCTTGTTTCTTACAACTTTGACAATTTTTTTCTTTTCTATTTTGAAAGTGTGGTAAAATGGATATGTGACACAAAATTTGCCATTTTAATCAATTTTAAGTGTACAATTTTAAGTGTATAATGGCAGTGATTGCATTTACAAAGTTGTGCGACCATCATCACTATTTCCAAAACTTTTTCATCACCCCAGAAAGAAAATCTGTGCCTATTAAGCAATAACTCTCATTCCCCTTCTCCCAAGTACCTCTTAAGAGACTCAGAGGAGCCCAATGTAGTGCCTCATACCTGTAATCCCAGTACTTTGGAAGACTGAAGCAGGAGGATTGCTTGAGCCCAGGAGTTTGGACCAGCCTGGGCAACACAGAGAGATCTCATCTCTACCAAACAAAAAAATCAAAAGATTAGCCAGGAACAGTGGCAGGCACCTGTAGTCGCAACTATTTGGGAGACTGAGGCAGAAAGATCGCCTGAGCCCAGGAGGTCAAGGCTGTGATAAGCCATGATCATGCCACTGCACTCCAGCCTGGGTGACAGAGTGAGAACTCGCCTAAAAAAAATAAAAATAAAAAAGCATCCCTGCCCCCAGTCTCACACCCAGGATAGAGGTCTTATTCCTGGACAGAACCAGTCTTTCTGTATTCCAGAGCTGCACAGAGACCTATGGAATTCGCTCCCTTGCAGTGCCCATAGTGGCCACCAATCCTTGATCCTTAGCAAAGCATGTCCTCACTAATGGTGGAGGGGGTGGAAAGCCCTGCCCTGTCCCCCTTCTTCTCCAGAAACTGTCTTGCTTTGGCTTTTCAATAAAGACTGTGACACCTCCTTCGACATAGCCACTGACAGCCCCCTGACTAAGGCCTGAACACCCAGCACTAGCATATCTCTTCTTGAAATGTGGCGCACTCAAGGGGAGCCTCTCCAGGCAGAACACCCTAGCCAGAGGTTTCCACTGCATACCTGCCCTTGCACCCATGACTGCAACAATGCAGAGGACAGCATCACTACCACAGTCCCTACTTTAAGATGCTGTCTTCAGCAGGTTAGCTCAGATGGCCAAGGGCATGCTGGGCACAGGATAACCTAAAAGCCAGGTATGTTTTCCCAGGGCCCGTGCCATGCCTATAACCCTCTGCCACCTTGTGACGGGCACAGAACACCGATGTGCCTGGCGTCCTGCCCCCATGGCAGCAGCCTTCTGACCACCATCTGCAGGCTCAGCCCTACTGAAGATTCAGGAACTCGGGGCCCGGCTGCCCATTGCCAGGCTCCTGCCATCGGGCTCCAGCCACCTGTCCTCTGACTGCACATGCTTGCTGCCCGTCTGCCACACCTGCTGCCCGCCCATCAAACCTGGCTCCACCTGCCCAGCTGGCCTTCCTCCTATGCCCGCTCCTGCCCCACCGCCTGTGTCATCTGGATCTAGGTCAGAGTTCCTCAGGTCAGCCCATTAGTGCTTCTGTGCCAGGCTCTGTTGGGGAAGTATAGCTGCTGCACCCCAAGCAGCCTGGGCTTGGTTGGGGTGAGCTAGACCTGGTCTTACTTTTCCTGATCCTTGGAGCAAAGAGTATGTGGCCTGACCGGCAAAAGGAGATCCTCCCTGCCCTGAGGGCTCCTTCCGGCAATGCTGCTTCCCTCCTCTGGGACTGGCTGCTGTGTGGCTAGCCCCACAGGGACCCTGTCGATGACCATAGGGCCAGGGACAGTCTGCTCAACATTGCTCACTGAGGCCTGCCCTGGCCAGACCCTGGGTGGAGACTGAGAACACAAAGGTAGAAAAGCCAGCCTGGTCTGGGGTCACTTGCTGGCTGTCTACAGCCAGAGATGAGGAAACCAAGAGTCACTGTGCAGGCCTGGCTTCCCAGAGCCTCTGGGGCCTCATTCTCAGGGAGCTTCATTTTTGGGGTCACAATACACACCTCCTGAGCTTCATCCTAAGACAGTGGATTCAGTGGTTCAGAGCACAAGTTTTGGAACTAAAAACACCTGCCTTTGAAACCCAGGTCGGCCGGGCGCATTGACTCATGCCTGTAATCCCAGTATTTTGATAGGCGGAGGCAAGAGGATTGCCTGAGTTCAGGAGTTCGAGATCAGCCTGAGCAACATGGTGAGACCTCGCCTCTACAATAAACAAAAACAAATTTAGGCTGGGCGCAGTGGCTCATGCCTATTATCCCAGCACTTTGGTGGGTGAGAGGATTACCTGAGCCTGCAACCTTAGCAACTTGGTGAGACCTCATCTCTACAATAATCAAAAAATTAGCTGGGCATGGTGACTTGTGGCTGTAGTTCCAGCTACTTGGAAGGCTGTGGCAGAAGGATTGCCTGAGCCCAGCGGGTCGAGGTTGCGGTGGCTGGGAGCGTGCCACTACCTTCCAGCCTGGGTGACAGAGTGAGACTCCAACTAAAAAAAAATAATAATATCTGGGTGTGGTGACATGGTATGCATCTGTAATTCTAGCTTCTTGGAAGGCTGAGGCTGAAGGATTGCCTGAGCATAGCAGGTCCAGGCTGTAGTGGCTGTGAGCATGCCTCTGCACTTCTGCCTAGGCAACAGTGAGACTCTGACTCAAAAAAAAGAAAAGAAACCTAAGTCAACCCTGACACTTATTTGCTGTGTGACTTGGAGCAAGTATCTTACCTTCTCTGACACTCAGTTTCCTCATTTGCAAAATGGAGATAATTACTTTCATCGCAGAGGAGATAAAGTGGGCTTGGCTTATAGAAGATGTTTCCTCCCCTTTCCCTTACAAGAAAACTCTTCTAAAACTCCTCATGGCTCCAATCTTATCAGCTTATTCAAGGTTGTTTCTGAACCCAGTTTACCTTTCCCCATATAGTGACTAATTTATTCCAGTTTGCTTGGGACTTCCTTGGTTTTCACACTGGAAGTGCTGTGTCCTGGGAAGCCCTTCAGTCCCAGAAAACTGGGATGGTTAGCCACCCTTTTCCCAGTCTCTGCACCTACAAATCTCCACCATGAAAGTTCAGATTATTCATATCCCAATATGGCCATCACTCCTGATCTCCCACCTTCACAACTGCTGTTCCCTCCGATGGGAATGCCCTTCCTTGTCTTCAGTTGTCAAAAGACAATGTAGCATTCAAGTCCACCTCCTCTGTGAGGTGTTCCCAGTCCCCACCCTGGAGTGAGACCTTCCTTTTCCTTCCCCCTAAGGCTCCCTATGAAGCTTCAAAGGGAAGGGCCTTAGGTCTAGGGCAAGGCAGGATCTCCCTGAATGAGAAAAATGTCCAAATCAGGAACTGACAGCTCCAGCTGCCTCCCTCTCCTCATCCAATAGTGAGCAACACAGGGACAGGGACAGGGACAGCTGGTCTTGCCCTCCATACACAGTAGGCGTTCAATAGATGCTGTCTCCCATTCCAACTTCTTCCAGCTGGGTTCGCTGATCCTGCTCATCTCATACTTTGCAGTTAGGCCTGCAAAAGGACTATCCCAGGTATGTGGGGGGGGGATGTCTCAGGTGAAGGCACAGCCAGGACAGATCTCACGATTGGTGAGGGGATTTGAGACTCCCAGGCGGACTCCTGCCCTGTCCTGAAATCATCCCCAAGGATAAGAGCCTTAGACTGAAGCCAACCTGCTTCCAACAACCGGCAGTCCATCCCTGCCTTAACTTACCCATTTGACTGGCTGAACAAATGCTACAAATGAATGCATAGGTTGTCTCCTGATGGCAACAAGTGACTTTCTAGAGGAGTGAGAGAATGAATGTATGGCAGTGGGTGGCTGGCCGAGGGGTTTGTGGGCAAGAAAGGGGCCCTCTAGCAGCCTGGACACAAGAGCAGGCTGCAGACAACTGGCAGGGAGTGGCAGCAGGAGAAGAGGTCCCCAGGGGAGTTCTTGGGGTCTTGCTCTGATGAGGAGGCTGCAGGCTCCCAGGAGAGAGCTCTTCCTCAGCCCCAGAGGACTGAGAGTGGCACGAGTTAAGAACTCTCTCCCATGGCCTGGCTCGGTGGCTCAACCTATAGTCCCAACACTATGGGATGCCACGGTGAGTGGATTGCCTGAGCCCATATGTTCGAGACCAGCCAGGGCAACTTGGCGAGACTTTGTCTCTACAATTAATCAATAATTAGCTGGGTGTGGTAGCGTGTGCCTGTAGTTCTGGCTACTTGGAAAGCTGAGGCGGAAGGATTGCCTGAGCCCAGCAGGTTGATGCTGGGGTGGCCCTGATTGTGCTACTGTACTCCAGCCTGAGTGACAGAGTGAGACTCCAACTCAAAAAAAAAAAAAAAAAAAAAGAACTCTCCCTCATGAAGCTAGTTTGGGGCAGGAGGTAGAAATTGGACCACTCTACTCAAATTGCAGTGTGTGGCTAGTCAGAGGCCAAGGATGGGTCCAGCACATTCTTAAACCAGCAAGTGGGCTTTAAGGGAGTTGACATGGTATGAAGAGAGGGTGGGAGAAACAGATGCATGAGAGGAGCTCCTGTCCCTGACCAGAAAGGGCAGCTGCAGCCACATACCAGCAGGACAGGGAGGGGTGGACCAGGCAGGTTGGGCCTCGTCCAGGGGCGCCCACCCTAGGGCAGGAAGACAATACAAGGCAGGGCGGGGGAGGGACCTCCCTGGCTGAGGTCATGAGACCCCTGCTTCCTTTGGGGAGACTCAGCTTTTACTGCACGCCGCAGTGTCTGGTGGGGCGAACAATGGAGGAGCTGGCAGCCACAGAGAATAGGGTGTGGTGAGTGGGGTAGAGACAGTCCTCTTTGGTGAAGCTGACCTGGGAAGGCCGCAGGGTGGGGCGAGGCATGGACTTCCTGAGCGTGCAAAATGCCACAGCCAGTAACTGCCACTGAGGGCGATGGACAAGGAGCTGGGGTAGGGATATGGGTGCTGTTGGCAGCAGCTACTACTTAGATATGATTCTATGTCAGTTACTGAACTATGCACTTTTTTTTTTTCTGGTAGAGATGAGGTCTTGCTATGTTGCCCAGGTTGGTGGTCTCAACCCCTGAGCTCAAGCAATCCTCTCACCTCAGCCTCCCAAAGTACTGAGATTACAGGTATGAGCCACCATGCCCAGGTGAACTATGAACTTGACTTGTGTCATTCGTTCAACAAACATTTAGGCAACAGGAAAAGAGCAATGAACAATGTGAACGTGACCCCTCTGTCTTCTTAGTTATGCCCCGCCCTACCCTGTCACATGGGGCAATCCTTATTCTTATCTTGCAAATCAAGGAATTGAAGCTCAGGCAGTGGCAGGGTGGGGGTGAAGGGGTCCCATGGACTCAGCTGTGTGGCAGAAAGATTTCCACCCTGATGCCAGACCATCCTGAGAGTGCCTCCACCTCCCACCCTGCAGGGCCTACCAACTCCATCCCAGCTCCCAAGGTTCCAGGGACCCTTCTCTGAAAGTCTGAGACTATCAAGACCCATAGGCAGCTGTTTCCTGGCAGTTTCTAGGAAGATATGAATTGCAGCAAGACCATGACACCTTGACCCCCCCCAACAAGTATGTCACCCTCCAGTATCTCACCTGGACACCCAGTCCAATTGCTTTTTGAGAATATTGTCATGTGTTCTCTTGGGTGCATGAGAGTTGGAAGAGCTGTGTTATATTTTTCCTGGAGCGTTGTTGAAGAAGAAAGACCCATTTTGCAGATATGGAAAGTCAAGTCAGGAAGACAAAGTAGTTAGCTCAGCCTCACACAAGTAGGCAGCGCTTGGGCCAGTGCCTGGGTAGCTGCTCCCAGGTCAGGGCTCTCTCCAAGACACAAGGCAACCAGCCAAGGGTGTTAGTGCTCTCCTCCCTAGCCCTTCTCCTGTTCCAGCCCCTCCAGGACTTTGGATGCCTGATCTGCTCAGGTCCTGTCCCCAGGGGTTCACTCTCACTTCTCTCCACAAAAGGTTAGTCCTCTCATCTTCCCAGGGTTACTCCCCTTGTTCTGGAGAGGTAAGGGAGAGGAAGGCCTTCTTCCCCCAAAGCGGGACTGTCCAGGGTTAATACGAAGGGTTGCAGGTTCTGGGGCTCTGGCTCTTTAGGGTTCTCAGTTCCCCCCAGGTGGGTGCAGGAAGCTGCTCCCCAGCTTGTACCTCACCAGAACACATCCCTGGGGGTGCCTGTTCCCCTCCTCAACAGCCCCAAGAAAGGGCCACATCAGTCCACTCTCCCTGCTCCCACCACTCAGAAATAAAAGGAAAAACCTTCCAATTGGCATCCATTCTAAAAACAGTTCTATTTTGTGCTCCTTTCCTGTTCAGAATAAATAGCAGCATAAAATTTGAACAGAAGGATGGGAGTGATTTCCCTGTGAGCCCCTTGCCTGGGAAGATAAGAAATAATTAATTGCTCAGATACCCTGAGGGGATTGTCCTGGAACCTTTTGGAGATGCCCTGACAGCACCCATGCCTATTGTTGGCGCCGTGTCACGGGAGTTGTGTCCTCCCTGTCCTCATTGTCTGGCAGAGTCTCACTGGGTAGAATGCAGTGGCTGTAGAGATGGGGACGCCCAGGATTTCCACAGCACAGCTGGCTGCCGACCTGTACCAGGCCCCAGTGACTGGCTTGCCCTTGGAAGCATAATGGTCTCCAGTTCCAGGTAGGAACATCTCGTCGTACTGGCAACAACTACCTTGTGGCATCCACACTCTACCCACAACCAGAAAGCATTCTAATAACACACATTCTATCAAGTCTCCTCTCTGCTAAAAGCCCTTAAGATCAAGTTCAGACTAAAGGGTCTGGCTGGAGAGGCACTTCATGACCTGGGCCCTATTTAGCTTCCAACCTCAATCCCTGCTCTCCACATTCCAGCTCCCAGGTGGCTGCAGAGGCCGCTGTATATGCCTCAGTGCCTTTGCACAGGCAGCTCCCCTGCTGGACTGTCTCTCAGTCCTTATCTCATATATTTGTCTTTTCCACCTGGAGCTGTTTCTGGGCCTGGGCTGCTCTAAATACCACTCCCAGCAGCTCCTGCGGTGCTCTGTCACTTTGCAGTCACAAGACCTCACAAACACGCTATTTCACACAATGACACAGCAGCTTCCCACAGTATCCTACTCATGACACCTGGAAGCTTCACTGGTCTATTGCAAAAGCAGACTTTCTGAGGCCCTTTAGTTTGGGATCCTCTGAGGGAAAGGACATGTTTGATGCCACTTTCGGTTCCTGGCACCTAGGGAAGATTTCAACACCAAGAACAGAGTAGGTACTCAGTAAATATTTGTTAACTGAAAAAGATAAAAGAACAAATGAACAATAGAGTAGGTGCTCAATAAATGTTTGTTGAGAAAAAAAGTATAAACAAAATTCTGTACAACTGAAACATTGGTCCATTACCTTCTCATGTTAGAGGTAAATTCGTAAGTTGGGTTCCATTTCTTTTTTTTTTTTTCTTTTTTCTTTTCTATTTTTTTTTTTTGAGTTGGAGTCTCACTCTGCCACCCAAGCTGGAGTGCAGTGGCACACTCACAGCCACTGCAGCCTCGACCTGCTGGGCTCAGATGACCCTTCTGTCTCAGCCTTCCAAGTAGCTGGAACTACAGGCACGCACCACACGCCTGGCTAATTTTTTGATTTATTGTAGAGATGAGGTCTCACCAAGTTGCCTGGGCTGGTCTTGAACCTGTGGGTGTAGGCAATCCTCTCATCTCAGTCTCGCAAAGTGCTGGGATTATAGGCGTGAACCACCACGCCTGGCTGGATTCCATTTCTTTCTTTTTTTTTTTTTCTGAGTTGGAGTCTCACTCTGTCACCCAGACTGGAGTGCAGTGGCCACTCCTGGTCACTGCAGCCTCGATCTGCTGGGCTCCGATGATCCTTCCACCTCAGCCTTCCAAGTAGCTGGAACTACAGACATGCGCTACTATGCTCGGCTAATTTTTTGATTTATTGTAGAGATGAGGTCTTGCCAAGTTGCCCAGGCGGTCTCGAACCCGCGGGCTCAGGCAATCCACTCACCTCAGCCTCCCAAAGGCGCGGGATTACAGGTTGAGCCACCGAGCCTGACTACTTTCTTTTTTTTTTAACTTTTAACTTTTTTATTTTAGAGATGTGGGATGCAATTCAGGGTTAGGTATACAAATGTTCATTATGCAGGTACTCTTGTTGATGAGGTGTGTCCCCCTTCCCCAGACAGATTCCCACTACTGCCAATCTTGCCTCCCGCCCCCCACCCACACCCCCACAATTTCCCACAGATTCTGTTTGTTAAGGAGCACTAAAATATCACTGGAATGTAAGGGGACAGAGAAAAGTATATTCAACAGGACTCTCTTTAAGAATAAAACAGCATGTGTTGCAAGGAATATTTCAGGGAGCTACTCAGAACAGATCAAATCACAGAAGATGGCTGTCTCCTTGGCTTCTAAGGAGGCTAAGTCCATTTTAAATGGGCTTTTGCTTTGCTGAGTAGAGTCTGTATGTTTAGGCTTGGAGTCAGGAAGGGATCACAGAGGAGACATTGGGCTCTCTCCACCTTCCCCTTGTACCACCCTCTGCCAGACCAAGAAACTTTGTGGTCAGCCCTGCCCCTAGCCAATTCCACAAGGTCATCAAGGTCCAACATTTAAGTCACCTCCTCCAGGAAGCCTTCTCTGACATATGGATGGACATGTCCAAGTCTCCCTCCCAGCAGTCTCCTCTGGCTCTTATGTCTGGCTGTGGGTGCCTCAGGTCTCATGCTACTGCAGGGCAAGGCTGTCTCCTGCACATCTGTGCCCGTAGAGGAACAGCACGGGGTCTGGCAGAGATACCCAAGGGGGTGGGATTAAACAAAGGAACAGTCAGTTTGGATGGATCACAGTATGAGCGGTGAGGGCTGGCAGGAAAGGGGACTGAATAGGTGCCTTGAGAGTGGGACGTCTTAGCACATATGCATGGACTCTCTATAAGTAAACTAGAGTATGCAGCATTTCTCAAACTTACTTGACTGTGGAACCCCTGGTTTGAGTGATGCCTTGTTCCATGGGAAACACTTTGGGAAATAGTGGAAAATACTATCAAATCTAGATTTATCTCAATAGTCTCCTCATTTTGTAGTGGAGAAAGCAAGATCCAGAGATGTACTAACAGAATCAGAGCAGAAACCAGGAGGCCTCCCATCACACCTTGACCTCAGATGCCTTACCCAGGATGACAATGAGTCCTAAGGATTCAGGCCAAAAACAAAAGGTTATAATGTGCCCTTGGAAAAGACTCAGTTTAATCTCCCAGCACATGGTGGGCCAGGATCACAATCTGTGTCCTAGACCAAGTTGGGTACCCATGTAGGGGGCTGTAGGAATTGGCATGTAGCCTTAGGAAGTTTGCTGGTTTTGTTTCTTAGGACAGTGGCAGCAAGCAAGATGACCTTCAAGCCATTGTCTTGGCTATTCTAGTAGACTAAGAAGGGCCTTGGTCTTCCCAAATGTGTCCTCCTCTCCAGGGAACTCTAGAGGCTGGACAGGAATAGACTGGTCTTTAATAATAGGTCAAATAGGAGGCCAAAGCAGGAGAATTGCTTAAGTCTAGGAGTTTGAAATCGGCCTGGGGAATTTAGTGAGACCTTGTCTCTACATAAGAAATCAAAAGGCCAGGTGTGGAGGCTCACGCCTATAATCCCAGCACTTTGGGAGGCTGAGATGGAAAGATTGCTTGAGTCCAGGAGTTCAAGAACAACCTGGACAATATAGCGAGAACGTGCCTCTACAAAAAATAAGCTAGGCATCGTAGCACGCCTGAGTCCCAGCTACTTGGGAAGCTGAAGCAGAAGAATCGCTTGAGCCCAGGAGGTCGAGGCTGTAGTGAGCTATGATCATGCCATTGACACTCCAGCCTGGGCAACAGAATGAGATCTTGACTCAAAAATAATAACGATAATAATAGGTCAGACATTTGTCTTCACCATGACACCTCAATTTCCTACTGGCCTTAGTGTTTCCTTCTGTACCCAAAACCTGGGAGAAAAGAGAGGCAAGAGTTTGCACCCATCCAGAAAAGTCTTTAGGGCCCATTCTAAAAAGCCTCACAAGAGCAGGATGGGAAGATCTCCCGTGGGTTGCGTGGGTGGCCCAGATGCTCCATAGGAGAGGGTGGCTGAGCCAATCGTGACATTGCTGCAGTAGAATCCTAGGTACTGAGAGGTGGGTGCAACAGGGAGAAGACAGCTCCCCACCAGGGAGCACAGCATAATGGCTAAGCATACAAGTTCCTGCTGACACTCATCAGCAGTGTGACCATGGGCAAATATTAAACCCTCTAGTGCCTCAGTTTCCCCATGGAGACCATGCAGATGACAATGATCGTACCTATACAAGTGGTTGTTAGGAGGATTAAATTTGTTAATTCCTCAGAACAGCAACTGGTTTGTGGCAGCCTTGTCCACAGGGCGGGTGTGGACCCCAGACCTGCCACTCAATAGCTGAGGGACCTTGAATGAGTTACTGGATCTCCCCATATCTCAGCCTCCTTTGCCAGAAAATGAGTTGCTAAGGAGCCTGTTGAGTAATCGTTAGGTCTAAATAAGTTAATTCTTATAAAGTGCTTGGACCTGTGCCCGGTATATGATAAGCACTCAGTATGATAACTATTATGATTTCATCAGTGACACAGAGAAATGGGGATATAAAATAATGTAAAGTGAAAAAAAGGCCAGGTTCAGTGGCTCACACCCTTAATCCCAGCACTTTGGGAGATCGAGGAGGGAGGATTACTTGAGTCCAGGAGTTCAAGTCCAGCCTGGGCAAGATAGTGAGATCTTGTTTCATGCTGTCGCATGCCTGTAGTCCTAGCTACTCAGGAGGCTGAGGCAGAAGGATCGCCTGAGCCCAGGAGGTTGAGGTTGTGGTGAGTCGTGATTGGACCGCTGCACTCCAGCCTGGATGACAGAGTGAGACACCCCCAACTAAAGAAAAACAAAAACAATAAACAAACAAACAAATAAATAAAGTGAAAAATATCAGAATACAAAATGACCCAGTTCTGTTTTCCAGGCCACATGAGCCCACGAATCCTCTGGGATTGAGCCAAGGCTTGGCAGGGGGCAGGGTTTGCAAAGCCACCTGCACAGGCATTGAGCCTCGGCCCTAGGGAAAGGCACACACCACGGGTGCCCTCCTTACTGAAGGTGAGTTCTCTGTCCATCTGCTGACCTACCCCCTCCCCTCTGCAAACATCTTCATCATGTTCCCCAGGGGTGCCAAGAGCTATAACTAAGACTCTTGGCTTTCTGCCTCAATGTCTCAGAGTCCCCAGGAAGGATCAGATGAGCCCCAGCCCTATTAATTCTAACCTTCTAGATATGGACTCTGATAAAGATCAGAGGTCAGGTTAGAGTGATGTGGTTAGTCTCCTGTGTGTTGTTTTTTTTTTTTCTGTGAAGTTCCAAAACACCACTTTAAGGTCTCTTATTTTCTCCATCCCCAGCTGGATGTGCAGTCTTGAAGGAATCTTGTGCTCCTTGAATTAAGATTTGACATTTAGCAGAGGTTTTTATGAGCACATTTATTATCATCCTTCAAAGCAACCACATGAAATGGGGCTGGGTCTTGTTCTCTTTTTGCAGACAGACGGGTTGAGTCACGCACAAGATGCTTATATGATTTAAATGTGTGGACACGCACACACACACACACACACACATCAGTCAAGCTATACTTATCCCAATAATAGAGAAAAAAAGATATTATTAGAATAAGAGCTAATTTTTTTAACTTACCATACGCCAGAGACTATTCCAGTTATTTTACAAACATATCTCATGTAGCTCTCAAAGCAATGATAGGAGGTAGCTATTATTATGTATTTTTAACAAATGAGAGAACCAAACCTCAAGAAGTTTAAGTGACTGGCCCAGCGTCACACAGCAAGCAGTACAGAGCTAGTTTATCTGATTCTGAGATCACACATTATCAGTTATGTCATCCTGACTTGTTATAAATGGAATCCATGTAGAAACTCTTATGTTTGGTCAGTAAGGTGGGTCACGCCTGTAATCCCAGCACTTTGGGAGATTGAGGAGGGATGATCGCTTGAGCCCAGAAGTTCAAGATCAGCCTGGGCAACATGGTAAGACCTCATCTCTACAAAAAAAAAATTTTTAAATAGCCGAGCGTGGTGGCATGCACTTGTAGTCCCAGCTACCTGGGAGGCTGAGGCAGAAGGACTGCCTGAGCCCAGGGGGTTGAGGCTGCAGTGAGCCATGACTGTGCCACTGTATTCCAGCCTGGGCAACAGAGTGAGATCCGACTCAAAAAATAAAGTAAAATAAAACCTCTAAGCTTTGTTTTAGCAAATAACACGACTGTCTAGGCTATGGGTTTAGGGAATGGTGGGGAGTTCAGTGACAAGGGTCATCCTCTCATAGTGTTCCATAATATTTCTCCCAGGGAAAAACTCTGGAGCCAGGCAGATCTGGATGCAGATTCCAGTCTGCCACTTCCTGTGTCCTCTCATTAGGGAGGAGCCTTTCCTGGCCCACATGCTCCACAGAGTATCTAGATAGCCACATGGTCCTTGAATTCAGATCTGCTGGGTGACAGAGTGCCTGGCTGTGCCCTGGGGAGACTTCCCTGCCTCTGGCTCCCACATATCCTCTGAGAGCCATCTCATCCCCGGTGATGATTATTAGCTTACTTGAGTCCCTTGGTTGTGTGGGTTAGGTGGTTGTGGACAGACAGAGCTCAGGAATTTGAACTGTGATGTAAGTTATCGAGCGGCATTACTGCAGGCAGCCACAACCAGGAGGCCAAATCACCTTCATTTAAACAAACCAGCATCCTGAGGGAACCATGCCCTGTGAACAGGTGCCTGGTGAATAACCCGCTGAGAGCCCTTCACTCTTGCTGAGTCCTCAGCCCTGGAGGGACCGCTCCTCCTGGCCACCCAGGAGAGTGGTGTCTAGGAACAGGCATCTCAGACCGCTCTGAGGTCACACAGTGAGGCTGGCAGGGCAGCAGGGAAACAGATTGCTCTATACATTCTAAGGCCCCGTGACCCCGTGTTATATATGGGGAGCATGTGTTTTGTCCTGTGGAAAGTCCCCAAGTGGTTGGACTAACAATTGACTCCAGCTGGACCCACACTGTTAGCTCTGGCCACATTTCCGAGACTTCCTTTCCCGTGATCCATCCCTTGCCCCTTTCAGATCACAAGGTGACCTCCTGGGCCTCCTGGGGATGTAATTGTCCTCCCTGAGCTGGGATCTGGGACAACTCCTTCCTCTGGACTCTGGCGGAGAAGTCAGCCTGCCAGCCGTTGTCAACCCCTGAACCCTCCCGCCTCTGCTGGCTTTCCTGTCCCAGCTGTGAGCCTCCCTAGGGGTTCATTCAAAGTGAAGACAATTGCCTCAGATTTAAAAAACCATTGGTCTCCTCCCCAAGTGGCTAAAATTAGCAGAAACTGAATAGGGCGTTGCTGACCTCAATCCTCCTGCTGGTCTTTCTCCTGTTCTGGTCCATTTGAACATTCCTCTGGGAGCCTGTGACAGCCCCAGCCTCCCACAGGGGACTCAACACAGAGCTGAAGAAAGGAGCCCCAGCCTCACGGAGGCAGTGAGGCTGCAGTGTCTTCAGCCAAATTCCAGGATAAGGCAGGCGGCTGCGGTCTCCTGGCCCCAGGGTTCTCTGAGCCAGCCCACAAGTTAGGCTCCTTCCAGAGAGCTGCACCGCCAGCTTTTTCTGGCTTCACAATGTGTACACATAGAGCTCAGGAGCCCAGGCAAAGTGGAGATGAAAGCCTTCACTGCCACTGCCTTGGCCACAACTGCCGTGAGCCTTCTCTGGGAGACACAGAGCAGGTCTCTATGCCTCCCTCCTCAACCCCACAGCAGGTCCCACCATCTCGACAGCTTTCTCCTCCCCCTTCAAGTTTCTTAATTATTTTCACCCTTGGTGTTGGATATATCCCAGCTCCTGTATTATTCCATTGCATCCAGAATGCTCTGAGGAACGGTTTTTCTTTTCTTTTCTTTTCTTTTCTTTTTTTTTTTTTTTGAGTCAAGGTCTCATTCTGTCACCCAGGCTAACCACAGTCTTGACATCCTGGGCTCAAGCGATCCTTCTGCCTCAGTCTCCTGAGTAGCTGGGACTACAGGCGAACAACCCGCTAATTTTTTTATTTCTTGGAGAGACAAGGTCTCAATATGTTGCCTAGGCTGGTTTGAATTTGTGGCCTTGAGCGATCCTCCCACCTCGGTCTTCCAAAGTGCTGGGATTGCAAGCATGAGCCACTGTGCCCAGGCGAATAGTTCCTTTTTTTAACCCCGACTTCCCAGAGAGATGTACTCAGGAGTTGGTGTCCACCAGGCAGTATTTGATGAGTGTGTTGACCCAGAGTCTGGAAGTCTTACAGAGCACAAAGCCCCTCACCCATATCATCCTACCAAGGGCAGGAGTTATGCCCAGTTTGAAGAAGGCCAGTGTAGGGGAAGTGGCTGACTCCACATGCACTGACCCAGGACCAACTCCTGGCCCCTGACCGCCAGTTAAAGGTTTTTTGCACCAGCCCTCCTAGCCCAGTTGGCCCAGCTCACCAGCAGTTAGACCTGGGATGGAGCAGGGTTGGGGTTACACAGACAGCAAAAGCAGTAGACCCCCACGTGGGACTGTTCCTCCAGGTCCTGTTCCCCAGGATCCAGCCTGAAGAGCTCTCCCTGCTTTGGCCCTGCCTTTCCCTTCTGTCTCCCCAAATGGCTACTGCTGAGATCTGTTCTCTCTCCTCTGAACAGTAGAAATAGTATAGTTTTAGTGTCAGGCAGGCCTAGGTTGGAACCTTGTCTTCCAGGAACAGTCATGATGTATACCTGTTGTCCTGGTATAATAATACATCAAAGTTCCTTGTCACTTTCAAAGGTGTCCCAGTTAGGGCAGTACACTATGTGTCCTCCTTATGAAGGCAGAAGACAAAGGGAGACTTTAAGGGTGTATCTAGTTCTGTGATTATAGAGGGGAACAGAGAACAAGGTTCTTCTTTGATGACACTGCTGGGGGGAGCTGGCTGCCTCTGCAGGGAGAGTCTACAGCCAGAGAAGGAAACCCTAGGTGGTTTACAAAATAAGCACCAGGAAAGGAAAACTGTCTATAGTTCCCTGAGCCAGACCAGCATCTGGAGGACAAAGCCACTGGGGATAGCAATGCCCCATCACACACTCTAGGGGTGCCAAGCACATCATGGTCTACGTGAATAGTGCCCCCTGCAAATGTTCAGTTCCTAGCTTGCCCAGCTATCCAAGGCAGCCTGCCTAACATGCCCACTACATGGTTAGTGAGCTGCAGCTAGACCACGTCAGAGAGCAAGAATACGGGCCAGGAGGGAAGTGGGCAGGCCATCCCTTCCTCTTTCCCAGAGCAGAGTGGGATCAAGACAGGTGGGGTACAGGGTGCGGTGGGAGTAGAGGAGGGCATTGGGGAGGGTGTCTGCTCCACTCATCTGTCCAGGTTTCACAGAACAGAATGGGGGTGCTGATGTGCACAGAGCCAGGCCTCTTTAGAGCTGGGTCAGCATGCAGGAGCCCCAGTGTCCAGGAACCCAGCAACAGTCTGGGACCATATCATGAAGAGTCTTGAATTCCAGGCTGAGGAGCTGGGACTTGATCTGGAGGCTGTGAGGATCCCTGCCCCAACCCCAGATGGCTGTCCCATGTTCTTTCCTTTGTGAGTGAGATGGCAAGCCAGAAGTGGCCCCGAGGCTTGCACACAAGTCATGGTAAAGGAGAGAGCTTTGAACTTTGGCCCCAGCTGAGGTAGACCCTCTCCCACCTCCAGGCTGTAGGAACTTCTCTGTCCTTGCAGAGTGGCTTTCTAAGGGAGGTGGCTTGAGGCTATTTTTTTTTTTTTTTTTTTTTTAATTTTTGAGTTGGAGTCTCACTCTGTCGCCCAGACTGGAGTGCAGTGGCCGCTCCCGGCCTCCGCAGCCTCGACCTGCTGGGCTCCGGCAATCCTTCCACCTCAGCCTTCCGAGTAGCCGGAATTACAGGTGTGCACTACCACGCCCGGCTGATTTTTTGATTTATTGTAGAGATGAGGTCTCGCTGCCCAGGTGGGTCTCGAACCCATAGGCTCAGGCAATCCACTCACCTCAGCCTCCCAAAGTGCGGGATTACAGGCTGAGCCACCGAGTCCAGCTGAG